CCCACCCAAAAAAAAAAAAGAAAAAGAAAAAGAAAAAAGAAAGGTAACCACCAAAACTAATAGAATGTTCTTTGGAGGCAGTAATATCAGAAAGTTAAGGAGACAAATGCAAAAATAATGTACTGCAGCGACATGAAAGAGGAGACAAATTGCATAACCAACTTAAGTGGACAAATCACCTCTTTTAATCCAGAGCGCCAAGGTGAAAGGTTATTGTCAGCCCTTAACAATGATAATGGCATAGGCAATCCATACTGCAAAGCAGAAGAAACACATCTCAGGCTTACAGCTGACAGACAAATGCAAAACTCAACATGCACATAAAATTTCTCTTTGGGAAAGAAGCTAACGAAAGGGTGATCACTTGATTCACTTCACATGCTCGATGACAACTCACACAAAATAACTATGAGATTGTTATAAATTTGACAATAAGGGATGACGAAAACATTTGCATGACAAGTTAGTGAAATATTAAAAAAAATAGTTGCAATAGTAGAGTAATTTAAAAAGATGAAAAAGATGTCTAAAGATCACCTGTTTGAAATTGATCCAGACATTACAATCAGGACCACGGCCATCACGCACTACCCTAATGTCAATATCTGCACCCTGAAATATTCACTTTAGTGAAACTGGAACTAAATCAGATTTGACTAAATTTGAATAAAAAAAACATCTGAGAAATAAAAATGGCACAGTTTTTTGAGTTCATTATTGGTAATTCGCCGGTTTGTTCGCCGTGATTCCTTAAATAATCAATAATCAAACTTTCTTATTAGAAAGCTTGTCAAGCGTTGGTGCGCGTAATAACATTCTAAAATTATGATTTTACCAGATGCACCAAAAACTCTCACCAGATAATTTCAATAACAACTTGCCAATGATCAATTGAACTAATTATCATCCAATAATCTTAAGCTGTGCAAACAGGGATGAAAAATAATGCTACATTTTGCAGAACATCACAAACCATTGTCATTGCTCCAAAATGAGTTGCTGCAAAGAGAATGCTTCCAGTGCCAACGAAAGGTCTAGACCAATTTCCCAGTTCTGACTTGTGCTTGATTCGCCATCAAGAGAGCCATTTCTGCATCCATTGCTGCTGGGCCAAGATATTTTTGGCTATGTAATTGATAGGTTTGCAAGATTTTCCTATTAGCGGTGCCAATCTCCCGACCAAAAATTATCCTCCTACGCACAGTGGGAGGAAGCCCATTCTCAGATCCATAATCGTCAATCATCATTTTCCATAAGAAAGAACTTATGTTCAGGTTTTTACAAATTCACTCGTCCCTGAAAGATATTGAGCTATTTGTTAGCAACAATTGACAACATTAGCATCCAAAAGGATATACAGAAAAGATCAAATCTCCTCAGGGCACCTAACTGACATTTTGCCATCAAGTAAACCGGGAAATCAACTTTAAAAGTCTGAACATCGACATCAATGAACTTATTCAGGAAAGAAGAAGAAGCGTACTACCTTCGTCCAGGTTCATGAAGACAAAAAAATAATAATAATATAACTTTCGAAATAACGAAGTCTCCTTCAAGAACATTTTATATTCCAGGTCATCTTGAAGCGGTTCCATATTTACAGTTAGCAAAGTTAACTTCAGCCTTGAAGATTTTAACTTTTCTGAGTTACTCTATATCTAAGTTCACAAAATTCCACTTCGAAATGAAACACGATCACACCTCAAAAGGAATGAATGCTAGCTTTTGAAGGCGATTATTTTGCTCCTGAAAGCTGATAACTTTCCCAAAGCTTTCAACAGTAATCTTAAAAGTACTGTCAAGTGTTAAGTATGGCAATTTCCTTTCATCCGGATAACTATTGATAGCCTCTTCAATTCCTCAAAAGTTTGTCCTTTCCCCCACAGTTATATTCCCATCACAAGAATACCTGCACACTCAAAGAGGCCAAGGCGTTAGATTTATCCTCAAAACTCTTACCAAATATCACAGCATGAAGATAAAAGCCGAAATGCTGGATTAAAGCATGATTACACACGGGGGCGGAGCTAGGATATTAGTTCAGTGCGGGTAAAATTGTTTTGACTCCGAACGTCGAGGTTTTGGTCATGGATTTAATGATGATAAAAATATAAAACAATATTACGACAATACTAAAACCGACATAATTTATATATTACACTTGTTCCTTGCGAGTTTTCATAATTTGATATCGTTGTATAATAACTTCATTATCGAGCTTCAAAAATATATCATTCTCTACATAAATAATTGTGCTATCATTTTTCTACCCTAGCAGCATTGAATTCTATCTTCAGATACTCAATTTTAGTAAAAGAAAAACATGCAGAAAATGAAATCAAGAATCAATAAACATCTTAGTACAAGCATACATTAACTTGAAGTATTCAAGCAGCTTAAGTAGACTGGGTTTTAGCTAACTTCCACCTGGATAACTAATCCTCATTCCTTAAATAACAATAAGCAAAATCATATACCAACTTATGAAATGAATCAAAAAGAGAGAATTTTTTATCACCTTGATTCCATCAAATCTCCCAGCAATTAGCTCAGCTGGACCATGCAGGCTTTCATCAAATCTCCCAGCAATTTTTTGGGCCTTTGGGGTTGGGCCCAAAAGTAAATGCTTGGACTTCACTGGGCTCTGCCCCTGATTACACAAAAACTTACGTGTCATAGTTTTTACTAAAATCCATTTTCCCCAAAAGAAATAGTTCAGAATATACCCTTATCACAAAATAGACATTGAATGAACTGCAACAGGCTAATTCTTATTCCAAATAAACTTGGGTTACGCTAGTGAATCAACACTTGAAAGCTGTTTTAACTTACCGATTCGTTCAATGGTAATCAATTTTTACTCAAAAATTGTATTAGCATAAGCCATTACCCTAGAAATATCGTAAAATGAAAAGATACAATCAAGAAATACCGACAACTAATAAATTTCATTATGGAATTCATCTTAACTTGATTCAAAAGCAATGCAAAAACTATAAATGTAAGAAGTGCAAGAAATCCTAGCTATGCTCCATTACGAGTTCATTCAACCAATAGAGTCAAAAAATGAAATACAATTCTAGGTTTTGTCTAAATTCAACGGCAAACATCATACAACACAAGAAACTCTGTATTTATGAGGGTTATATATATATAAAAACGAAAATGCATGCTTCGACTGGCGATGTTTCGAGCAATTTCTTCAGGAGGAATATTGACGAAATGGAAAGGTGAATCGAGGAGGAGGTCCTCCGGGAGCCTCCATTCCAGCGATCCTGTGGTCGTGCCATCGAATGCACCGAAGAGTCCGGCAAGAGATTCGAACTCGGGTTTTCTAGATTCTATTAGTCTATGGTAGAACACGCATAGATACCACATATTGGACTAAAATTTTCTACTGTCAGGGGATGAATTCTACATCTATGAAAGGAATGCAATCGCCGGCTATACGACGATGTAAGAGAAACTACAGCAGTGACTGAGAGTGGAGGGATGTGGTGTACAGTTGCTTTAAAGCCAGAAATTAATAGCTATGTGACAACAAACAGACCACCAACAGATTTCCCTGGGTCCCAATTCAGATTTTCAATCTACAAAAACAAATCACCACCACTCCATTACACATCATTACGCGGACTATCCATGGCGATTGCAACCTCTGCCTCGACTGCTCTCGTTATACTTCCCCAGCTCTTCACCTCCACTTCTAATTGCCGAACTTTTCCACTTCATCGCCGGTGGTCTATCAAGACTGACGGTGGTAGAATTTATGCTTCGGTATCAGCTGCAACCTCCTTGCCCACTAGGCCGGATGATCTTGTCGCATCCATCGTTTCCAAGGTACCATTTATGCTTAAGATTTCAATTGTTAGGACAATTCTGTTCTAAATTTGATTTATTTGCGGACCCAATGAATTATATTCTTTACGAGAAACGTGAATTCCATGAGTAATGTTCAGGTCCTCCAAGGCATGCCTACTTTTGTATTGCTGTCACAAGAAGTTTCCACTACTCACCTTTAAATAGTTATAGTCGATCTTTCTTAACTGGTACAGTGGACTTCTGGTTCTGTATAGGTCGGGACGAAATATATACCAACAATGGCAAAAAAAATAGTAATAAATAAATAAAAGAGAGAGAGAGAACCAACAATACAGGAGAAGAAAAGGATACTGCTGAGCCATAAGTCCATAAAAAGCTAGCGAAAAGTAGTGGAATGGACCCGTTAGTAAGCACAGCCATGAGGATAGGTTAATTCATTAATGTGTCCTGCATAGACAGTGATAACTCTTATGCACATATCTCTGATAGAAAATTACAGATCCAAGAAAATACACTTTAACAACTCTACAAAATACCACTGGACACCAAGAATAGTGACCTATTCGGGCTCAGATCCTTGTACCCTTCTGTGCCATCAAAGAGACCCGTACACAAACCTTAAACCCTCACAAGTACCCAACGTGAGGTTGCTTAAATGGACAAATCTGGACTCTAATTACAAATATTGGTTTACTCACACAGAGAAAACATGAATATTTCAGATCTCACTAAGAGAAAATGATCGACTCACACATAGAAGATGAACAGATAAAGAACTCAGAAACCCAAAAGGTTCCAAACGGCTGGAGAAAAGAGAGAGAATGAAGAAGTCTCTCAAATTAGGGTCAAAGACCCGTATTTATAGTTACACACAATCAACCGTTGATTTGTATCTTCATCCAACAATCCAGAGCAACTCACGCACAATTGGGCTGAATATCGAATTTAGGTTGGTGGGTCATCTTAGATAACGTTATAGAGCAAGGTTTAGTACTTGGGTCGAAGGCCATTTATCTCTTCATTGCCTAAAAAATGGGTTGAACTGGCATCACAACCTAACAATCTCCACCTTGATGTCAGTGATAATACAAGAAGCCTATAGTACAAATTCTATTAAAAATTAATATCCAACAAAAAAGAAAACATAAGCTTCCCAGCACTTCCAGTTGACATCAAGTATATTACCTGCAAACACCACAAAAATTACCCAGTATCAACATTCAACACTTGTAAACACGTTTTAAACTTGTTCAAAGGTAATACCTTTATCCCCATTTCTGTAAGATTAAATTCAGTAGCAATTTTCTCAAGGAACAAAATTTCATTAGAGACAATATCTCTAATAAAATGCAATTTTACATCAATGAGTTAAGTTCTTTCATGAAATACTGGGTTTTTACACAGATGGATGACACTCTGACTGTCTGAATATAGTACAACATGACTGCTTAGTTCATTTATTTTAGAAAGTAAACCTTTAAGCCATAAGGCTTTTTTGATTGCCTTAGTTGTAGCCACATATTCTGCCTCAGTGGTAGACAAAGCTACAATTGGTTGGAGTTGTGACTTCCAACAAATGCAAGTTCCACACAAAGTAAACACATAGGCAATTGTAGATTTCCTGTTGCCCCTATTTCCAGCAAAGTCAGATCAACAAAGCCCTTAAATACCACACCGTCTTTGCAAGCACTAAAAGCTAAGCCTGAGTGTGATAAACCTTTCAAATACCTTAATAACCATTTTAAAGCAACCCAATGTTCAGGTCCAGGGTTAGCCATGAATCTGCTAAATATGCTAATGGAATGAGCCACATCAGGCCTAGTGGAAACCATGGTATACATGACTGATTCTACTGCATTAGCATAGGGTATCTTTTCCATTTGTTTAATCTTAGATTCACTACTGGACATTGGTCCTTACTTAGTTTAAAATGGCTGGCTAAGGGGAGAGTAACATATTTTGTATTAATCATAGCAAATCTATCTAACATTTTCTTAATATAACTGGTTTGTTTTAGGCTCAATATTCCATTACTCCTATTTCTGACTATTTCCATCCCCAAAATTCTTTTCGCATGGTCAAGGTCTTTCATTTCAAATTCTTTGCCAAAAGATCCTTTAATATTATTGACCACGTGCATGTTTTGCCCTATCAATAGTATATCATCAACATACAAGAGTATAAAAGCAATAATTTTATTTTCTTCGCCATACTTAAAGTAAAGACAATGATCGAATTTACTTCTTGTAAAACCAACAGTAGATACAAAGTTATCAAATCGTGGATACCATTGTCTTGGAGATTACTTTAAACCATACAAGGGTCTTTAACAAGCAAACATGTTCAGGCTTAGATTCATCAACAAATCCATGTGGTTGTTTCATGTATATCACTTCATCAAGATCACCATGCAAAAAGGCCGTTTTTACATCCATTTGTTCGAGTTCAAGATTATAATGTGTCACAGGAGCAAGCATAACTCTAATAGTAGTGTATTTAACTACCAGTGAGAATATTTCATTATAATCTATGCCTCCTTTTTGTGTAAACCCCTTACCTACAAGTTTAGCCTTAAATTTTATAAGCATTTTCTCATCATTTCCCTCCTTAACAGTAAATATCCATTTACAGTCAACAATGGACTTACCAGCGGGTTTAGGAACTAAGTTTCGAGTCTTATTTTTCATTAAGGAGTTCATTTCATCTTTTATAGTAGCCTGCCAATTTACAGGTTGCTGGCTATTAATAGCCTCTTCATAAGATTTAGGTTCTTTAAAGACAAGATCTTGATAAGAAAGAACAGCAAGTGAAAGGTAATCCCTATACCTAACAGGTTCTTTTATCTCCCTTCTTATCCTATCTCTAGACAATTGATAATCACCTAATTCTATAGGCTAATTTTATATGCTTTCTTGCACACATTCTTCTTCATTTTCATGAGGATATGAAGCATTTTCTGCCTCTTCCTTCACCTGTTGAGCATCAACCTCCACTTGTAATCTGGTTTTATTATTCTTTTCTCTTTCAGAATGGCCATTTAACTCTATATTATTCAAACAAGGGATTTTTTATCATAAAAAATAACATCTCTACTTGTGATGATTTTAAAACCCTTTGTTTCCTTACTCCACAATCTAAAGCCCTTTACCCCATCAGGATAGCCTAAGAAAACACATTTAATGGCCCTAGGTTCTAACTTACCAATACTCTGATGAGAATAGGCTGCACACCCAAAAATTCTTAAATGTGAGTAATCAGGGACATGGCCAGTCCATTGCTCTTCAGGTGTTTTATCACCTAGAGCACTTGAAGGTGTTCTATTCACAATGTATGAAGCTGTCATCAAAGCTTCACCCCATAGGACTTTGGGAACACCAGAATTTATAAGCATACACTTTACTTTATCCAATAAAGTCTCGTTCATCCTCTCAGCAACTCCATTTTGCTGAGGAGTATAAGGTGCATTCCTATGTCTATCAATTCCAACATTACTACAGAGTTGATCAAACACCTTATTGCAGAATTCCAGACCATTATTAGTTCTAAGCACTTTAACTCTCTTCCCAGTTTGATTTTCTATCAAGTTCTTCCAAATTTTGAACTTTTCTAGGGTTTCAGATTTATGTTTCATTAGGTATACCCAAACTTTCCTGGAATAGTCATCAATCAAGGATAGAAAATATTTATTTCCTCTTTGAGTGATAGTAGATGAAGGCCCCCACAGATTAGCATGTATATACTCTAAAATAGAGGTGGTCTGATGCTTTCCATTGTTGAAATGCAACCTATACTACTTACCTAAAGTGCAATTTTCACACAAGGGGACTTTAGATATGGAATACTTTCCAAACACACCCATTTTGTAAAGAATCTGTAGACCCTTCTCACCTACATGGGCTAATCTCTTGTGCCACTTTAAGGCGGCATCAAGTTCAGCATTGGAAGATTCTACAAATTCATCATTAATTATACTGGACTTAAAAACATAAATTTCATTTCTTTTTAGTCTCTTAAAGATGACAAGAGCGCCCTTAATGACCTTTAAGAATCCATCACCAATTTTATCTTGTAGGCCCAAATCATCCAAGGTACCCATTGAAATCAAATTCCTGTTCAAATCAGGAACATATCTAACCATTTTAAGGGTATAGATATATTCATTTTCAAATTTCAATGTAACCTTTCCTATATCCTCAACTTTACAGGCTATGTTGCTTCTCATCACTACCTCTCCTCCATTTATTTTCTTAAAATCTACGGCCAATTCTTCCTAAAGGTCATATGGAAGGTACAACTAGAGTCCAGAATCCATTCCTGAACCTGATTTCCTTGATTAACAACGTTAGCAATATCAGGGTCACGAGTTTGTTCGGTCACAACATAGACATCAACAGTAGTGGGTTCTACAACATTTCCTTCATCCACCCCCTTTTGTTTCTGTTCATTTTTCTTTTTGTAACAGTACTTTATAAAATGTCCTATTTTTTCACACCCATAGCATTTTTTATTCATGGTTTTGGATTTAGATCTACCCCTACTCTTAAACTTTCTCCTATGAGTAGTTCCCTGACTACTTTGGCGTTCCTGAGTGGAATTAAATCTGGTTGGGGTCCTACCTCTAACAAATAGATTTTCTGGTCCAACACTATTCCTTTCAGTTCTAAGTTCAAGATCCTTACTCCTCAAGGAGTTTATTACTATGTCAGGTGTAAGGGTGTCTCTTCCATACTATATTACTGCTTTTACTTCTTTATATGTCTCAGGGATAGCATTTAAAAGGACGACAACCTTGTATTCTTCTGAAACATTATCACTAGCATTGGTTATATCTTGCACTAACTTATTAAAGTTGTCAAGACTATCGTCTAAGTCTTTAGTGGGGTCAATCTTAAAACTAAAAATTTTTTCCAACAGAAACAATTTATTAGGTAAAAATTTGACCAAATAAAGTTTCTCTACTTCATTCCACAGTGTTTTAGCTTCATCATGCTTACCAACTTTTCTCAACACTTGATCAGACAAATGTAAAATAATAGAAGTATATGCAAGTTCATTAGATTCTAGCCGTTGATCAGCTGTCATAGTTTCAGGATATTCTTGTGTTATTGCTTTAACAACTTTTTGTTGAACAAAGAGACCTCTCATTTTTTGTTGCCAAGTGGGGAAATCCCCTTTTCCATCAAAAACACCAAGTTCAAAAGAGGTGCTTGTCATTTTCAAAAAACAAGAAATAACACAAAGTACTTCAAAGGTTTTGAAAAAGACTTGACAACTGATGAATCTTGAACAACAGAAGTGTTTTGACCTTCACAAATTTTGGGAAAGTCAAAAGATCACACCAGAGTATAATAAAGCAATCAGATAGAAATATCACAATTATGTAAACAGTAGAGACACACAGTCTATCAAAATCAAGTGAGCAGAAAATTAATCACGGATTACTATACAAGATGATCAAATTCATCAGGATTCCGTGAGAATCATGTTCTCAGGTCAAGGCTCAATTTGAACATTCCAAGAACAATGCAGTATACTTCAATAACAAGTCACACAGATTCAAGAAATTATTAAAATTATACTAATAAAGTGAACATAAACATGAGAAATGCAGTTAAGACACATAAAGAGAATACATAATATCACAAAAATAATCAAATCAGTACTATGGGTATAACAGAATGCTAACCAGAGGGTGGTTCATAGAAATTTAACCACCAATCCAACCAAAGACAAGGGATCAGTTTAGAGCCCCTCAATTCCAACAGCAGAAACGAGCAATATTTTGGTCTAGGGGCCAATCCAAACCAAGATTGTATTCACTTTGGGGTCCAACCACCAATCGAACCAAGAAAACACCCAGGACTTTCAAAATTTCACTCGAAACAACCGGACCTGTAAATGAAACTCTCAGATTGAACCAAAACCGGATCTAGGGTTTCACGAAATATCAATCAATCTTGGGACAGAACACAGGAAATTAATTTTCCAACTTCCAGAACTCGATTGAAGGCAAGAAATCACAAGTATGTAGCTCTGATACCACTCTTATGTACAAATCTCAGATAGAAAATTACAGATCCAAGAAAATACACTTTAACAACTCTACAAAATACCACTGGACACCAAGAATAGTGATCGATTCAAGCTCATATCCTTGAACCCTTCTATGTCATCAAAGAGACCCGTACACAAACCTTAAACCCTCACAAGTCCCCAACGCGGGGTTGCTTCAATGGATAGATCTGAACTCTAATCACAGATATTGGTTTACTCACACAGAGAAAACACGAATATTTCAAATCTCATTAAGAGAAAATGATCGACTCATACATAGAAGATGAACAGACGAAAAACTCGGAAACCCAGAAGGTTCCAAACGGCTGGAGAAAGGAGAGGGAATGAAGAAGTCTCGCAAATTAGGGTTGAAGACCCGTATTTATAGTAACACACAATCAACCGTTGATTTGTATCTTCATCCAACGGTCCAGAGCAACTCACACACAATTGGACTGAATATAGGGTTTAGGTTGGTGGGTCATCTCAGATAACGTTATTGGGCAAGGTTTAGTACTTGAGCCAAAGGCCATTTGTTTCATCATTGCCTAAAAAATGGGCTGGACTGGCATCACAGCCCAACAATGACATTCAAGAATATCAAAGAACTATATTTGTGAGAACATTCAAGACATGGTCTCAAGAATGAGAACAATCTCCTTCAGCTATGAAGTTGACTAAAATAAACTGATTTGTGTTGACATTTTATTTAAAATAGTTTCTGTTGCCAGGTAATTTGAGTAATGAAACCCTAGATGGTTGACTTATTACTTATCTACAGTGAATTTTAAAAAAATTAAAAAAAAAATCACATCAACGCTAATATTTTTCTTCTTTGAGTTAGTATATAAAAATTACAAGACTTGCATTTGCTATCTCTTGCTAATATGATCGAATGATATTTTCTTTCCCACAGTGCTCTAATTTGATAAGGCATTATGACAATTTTAAGGTATATGAACCTTCATGTACTACATAGTTTAGTACTTAAGTTAAATTTCATATGTATTGTTTGCAAATTGCAATATGTGCTTTAGATCTCAAAGTTTCTCCCTTTACGACATTTGTTTTGTACTGATAGTTCTTTATTTATCAATTTGTGCTTGCAAGTCATTTTCTGCATTGTAGACGTGATAATTCATCCTTTCAGCTGCATTGTTTTTGTTATTTTCATCTAGTAAAGTTTATATTGTTTCTATCTCTATGAGTGATGCTTTCTTAGAACTTTCAAATGTAAAGAAGACTGAGATTTATCACCTAATTAGGTCATGCAAACAGATCGAGGAGTTCTACTGGCGAGAGATGAACACCAAAAGGTAGCTGCAATGGCCACTGAATTGCAAAAGTTTTGTGTTGATGAGCCTGTAAAATGCCCACTTATATTTGGAGGTAAAAAAAATCCGATTCTCAGTAATCATAATCAGTTACTTATATTGAATCCTGCTTCCAATTCGAAATTATCGAATAATAAAGACTTGGGTAACATTTGTAAGGTTTAAAGTTATTCACAGAAGAGAAATTGACAATTGCCCGTGCAATTTGTTTGCTGTCATAAACTGGATTCTTATAATTGATTCTTTTGCAAAACATTTTATTCATCTAATGACTTGTCCTATGCGATCTTTTTAGAGAGAGAAAATTCTTTGGTTTGAATGGCATTGATGCATATAATGTGGCCGTTGATGGGGTTGCTGCAGATTAGGTTGTGCAATAATTAAGAGTTGCTTGAGTTTCAGGTTAAGCTACTACTCAGTTATCTCAATAAAAACCAATCATTCTCTTTCTGATATCTGATCTGTTCTTTTATTTAACTTTCCACAAATATAATAAGATGGCTGCACTGACCACTTCGAAGTTTCGTACATGAGGAAATTGTCGAGACATTGTATATAAAGATACGTTAGCTTTCTGCTGTGTGATTTTGAATATGGATTTGCTGCAACTTCACACATTGAATATAAAGATACGTTAGCATTCTGCTGTGTGATTTTGAATATAGATTTGCTGCAACTTCACCGAAACTCTATGGATACTGAATTGCTTCTAAAACCTTGTGCAGTCAATGACAAATGCCAATTTCAATGATGAATGAGAGTATCATCCTAATAATTTTTTAAATTATTCCACAACAAAAAAGAGCCTTAGTTCGGAAAATGAAGTGCTCGCTAATGTCGAATGTTTGTCCTCTCTGCAGAGTGGGATGTGCTATATTGTTCGAACCCTACATCACCTGGTGGCGGCTATCGGAGTTCAATCGGACGCCTATTTCTCAAAACCAATGATATGATTCAGGTTGTTGAAGCCCATGACATAGTGAGAAACAGAGTATCTTTTTCAATCCTAGGGCTCCTAGAAGGAGAAGTTTCATTGAAGGGTAAATCCGATTGTCGAACTTTTTCTTTGATTTTCTTTTTAATTTATAATCCTAGTATTTATGGAATTCTTTCTTTCTATGGATACCAATCGAACAATATATCAAGATTCTGTCTGTCTGCTTTTGCTAAAACTCATATAGCCCCTGTTTGGGGTACATTCTCCCAAAATATATTTTTTCTTTCGTATTTTCAGTCACGGACTCTTCAATAAATTAATATTACATGTAAATTTAAAACTTTTTATCATTTTTTAGCCTCACATTCTCCAAAATATTACTATTAAAAAATGCATTTTGGATATAGCATCTTGAAAACTTACTCCATGCATGAAGCATCAAGTAATGAGAGATGGAAATTTGGACTAACCTGCTTCAGCTGCAAGATTTATCTATCTCAGGGCAATTACCATATTATAACCATCAGTTTCATTGAGGTATTGATATGGCCTCATAACTATATTGCCCAAGAATCTAGTGTGCTCTCAAGCCTCAATTGTATATTAAGTTCACACAATCTCATTCCTATGTCCATCAGCCTGATGGTAAAGTGAACACTACCTGCATTAACTAGTACGTAGTTGAAGCCGTAAATTGAAGCTGGCCTTCCATGGATAAGCTTAGGCCACTGATTAAGTGTGGCTATTTGTTCTTTCTGGCACGAAGTTATTGTCTATTCCTCCAATCCTCGGTCTTGCTTCTGGTATCATCCAATTAATTTATATTCTATTAGCAACCTGCATGATGAAATTTTGTTTCCTGGGGCACTTGATTTGTGGCATATATATCTAGACTGCTGTTGGTGGAACACTGAATTCTGTATTGCCACTATATGTCATTTGTTAATTGAGCTCTCCTTGCAATAATAATTTTCAATTACTCTATTATTGGTCAAATTTAATCAAATTTTCATATGAAAACATTTATGGTATGAATGACTTGATAAGGTGGTTTAGACCACAGAAGTGAATTGTTATCTATTATACTGCACTTAATTCTCAAGTTGATGTACAGGGAAACTAACTGCTTTGGACAAAAAATGGATTCAAGTAGTGTTCGAGCCACCTGAACTCAAGGTTGGAGGACTGGAGTTCACATATGGCGGGAAGAGTGAAGTGAAGCTGGAGATTACATACATAGATGAGAAGATCAGACTGGGAAAAGGTTCAAGAGGTTCTCTCTTTGTTTTTCAGAGACGCAAACCAATCTCATGAAACACTCATTTTTTTTAATAAACACCTCTGTTTTACAAACTTTTCTGATCGGTACAAAAATAACAGAGTAATTGCAATATAACACCGGTATTTTAGTGGGACCGACCTTGTTTCAATATCAAGAATTCTTCATTTGAACGTTTCCATGTAAGGGAGTTTGTTTCAATTTTTTTTGTTTCAAGTGGGGGATAGGGGCTATGACTAGACGTGTAAAGTGGCATGATCGGTTTGTGCAGCCAGACATTGGCAGTCCACTTGGCCATGCCCATGTGGGCAGTTTTTTAACTGCTCGATTAATTGTCATTAAGAGGTTAGAAAGGATCTTGATTAAGTAAAAGCATAAAAACGACTTTTTAAATGCTAAAACACATTTCAAGGCATAAACCAAAAATAACAACATCAATTGATCCATGAGAAGAGATCTACTGCATGTCTATATATCTACCAATGCAGAAACCACGAAATTGTTTACAGGTTTGACACCATCTTCTTGCTTATTGACTTCCAAGCACATAGTGTATGCACTGGTCGTCTCGTCTCTCTTGGCCTTCGTGCTCGATTCACTGTCCATTCACAGAGAATGCAAATCATTCATTAGTAATAGTCCTTGAATGCATATCTCCTTCACTAGCATATGAAGAGAAGTCATCATCTCAATCCCTTTCTTGTAACTCTCCAATTTTCTCGACAGCTTCATTTAAATCCCACTTTCTCCACATCCCATTCACGGCAACGCATCCCAATCTTCAGAAGCCTCATCATCCGAACTTCCTCTTTTCGGGTCGGATTCATTTCTTTATCAAACACCTCACCAATCTACTCTTCTCTTACAATAGATTTAATCCATGCAGCCAAATCAGCGTCATCTCCTCTCCCTTGTTTCAGATAATTCGTCGAAAATCTGTCGGTAAGCAACTCTATTATCCAAATCCCAAGATTCCACACATCGGTCATTCTGGTTAAACTTTCACTTTTTGTAGACTCTGGTGATTTATAGGCTACCATAAACTATTGAGCATGCTCTTTGTTGATCACTGATGCAAGGGCATAATCAGCGAGAAAGGGTTCACATGTGGTGTTTAGCAGAACATTGGGTGACTTTAGATGGCCATGAGGAGGGTTTGGGTAGGGAGCTCTTTGTAAAGATAAGACAATCCCTTGGCTACACCTTTTATGATCTTTGAGTGGGTTGGCCAATCAAGAGCTAGTTGTTGAGGACTTTGCTTACCTATATTAAATTGAATTCAAATAAATTAAATTAGTATTAGACATTAGACAACAAACATTAAAGGGTTGTTGAGGACAAAATTCTAAGAAAATAAAAAGCATTTCATAACTAACATTTTAAACTCAATTCAAGGTGAATTCTAGTATTTTATCATAGCGGACAGTGAACTACAAAATGAAAATTGTACATGTATAGAGTCTGATGAAAAATAAGTTAGGTGCATGTAGAGGGTGAGTTAAATATTCAAATAAGTTTGTCTCCTATCTCACAACTTATTGCATTAGATAAGGTAACTTCTAACTTTGAACCTTTCTTAGTAAAATACTATTGGATTTACCTGGCTAATTAATGAACATGGTGTCTTGAATCATTCAGTCGTTGGTGTAAACTAAGACAAAAATACGTATACCAATTTTTTCCTAAGTCGTTCATGGTTCTCATGACTTAGTTCATTTAGGCCTTGAACCACTCTCATGTCACTCTTATGTTTCACAAGTGTTTAGAAAATTTCAGTCTTGAACAATTTTCATAGAAACGACCCCACCTCACACTTACATAATTGACTTCCTATTAAAAGTATTCTGCCATATTCCACTGAATTTATTAAAGATATATGAATCAATAAAAGCATATCTTAGCCTTTAATATTATATAGAAAACACTTTAACTATCATAGGAATGAGTTAGGAAGTATTTTTCTAAGTGTTTCATTGAATCTTCATAACTTAGTTGTCCTCTTGATTCAAGATCTTGGGATCTTCAGTCAACAATGTAGGGTTACCATTACAAAGATGCTTATGTAGTAGGCTTTAGTCCCATTACTTTCGATAGGTAACATACTTGATCTCTTGGTAAACCATTCGTAAGAAGATGTGCAATGTTCTCTTTTGATTTCACATAATCTTTGAAGATAATAATACTTGAGATCAATTGCTTAATGATATCGTGTCTACGACATATATGTCTAAACTTATCATTATACATGCTACTTGGCGCCATTCCAATAGCCGATTGGCTATCACAATGTATATCTATTGTAGATACTGGCTTAGGCCAACATGAAATATTTTTCAAGAAGTTAAAAAGTCATTCTGCTTCTTGTTAAGCTTTGTTTAAAGTAATAACTTCGATTCTATCATTGATCGAGCTATACACGTTTGTTTTGTTGACTTTCATTAACAACAGCTCTACCAATAGTAAATATATAGCAACTCGCAGAGTTGGACTCCTTCATGTTCAATATCTAATTCACATCACAATATCATTCCAGTACTACAAGATATTTTGTAAAGTGTAATCTATAGGTTGGGGTATATTTCAAATACCTAAGAACTATGTCAAAGCCTTCCAATAATCATGCTTGGATTACTTGTGAATTTACTAAATTTATACATAGCAAATCTAGTGCAATTTGTGATATACATTAGACTGCCTATATCCTGTGAATACTGTGAATACTTTAATTGTGATACACATTCACCCATACTTATAACTAAGTGTAAACCTGTGTCAATAGGGGTTTCCGCAGAACTTTCCTCAAGTGCATTAAACCTTTTAAGTATACTCTTAATGTAGTGAGATTGAGAAAGTACAGTTTCTTTTGATGTTCTAGAGATCTTAACCCCTAATATTATATCTGCGATTTCAGATGAAAATGTTTCGTTAACATTCTCTTGGTATTTAGTATTATTTCATGACTGTTGCTCATTATCAACATGTCATCTACATATAGATATATAATCACATAGGCTTTCAGTGTATGTTTTATGTATACTCACGTGTTGCACTCGTTTATCTTAGATCCATTATACAACATCATCTTATCAAACTTTTGGTGCCATTATTTATTAGCTTATTTCAATTTATACAAGGACTCAACGAGTTTACAGACATTTTATTCGCGATTTGAATAAATGAACCCTTCGGGTCGTTCCAAGTATATCTCTTCTTCAACTCATCATTTAGAAATGCTGTTTTTATATCTATTTGATAAATCTCAAACTATGTAATGCTGCAATTGCAGCTAATGACCTTATCGAAGTGATTCTAGTCACAGGTCAGTAGGTATCAAAGAAGTCAAGTCATTCATTTTATCTGTATCACTTGACAACCAATCTAGCCTTATATTAGTCAATGGGCCCATCAGATTTTAGTTTCTTTTTGAAAATTCATTTACACCCTAAATGCTTAGTTCCAAGGAATGGGAGTAAATCAACCAATTTCAAAGTACGATTTTACATTATAGAATCTATCTCACTATCGATAGCTTCTTTCCAATGCGGTACTTCTGATGTGGACATTGTTTTATTGAAAGTCTTTAGATCATTTTCTACCATGTAGATTAGAAATTTTGGGCCAAAAAAATAGATGTTCTAGCCCTTTTACTACGCCTTGTTTCTTTCTTATTTGAAGTACCATTTGCAGTTTCATAAATTCTTTTATTTGAATTTGCATTTTCCTTATCTTTACATAGAAAAACATTCTCAAAGAATGATGCATTTCTCGATTCAATTATGGTTCCATCACATACATCTAGAATTTTAGATTTATGTACAAGGAAATGATATGCACTTTTATTATTGGTTTATCCAATAAATATTCATTCAATCGTCTTAGTTTTCACTTGTTTAGGTTTAAGAACTTCAACCTTAGCCAAAAATCCCCATGATTTCAAGTATTAATAGGACGGAGGAAGACATTTTTAAAGTTCATATGGAGTTTCTTCCATTATCTTAAGAGATATCCTATTAAAAATACTATTTGCCAAAAGAGTAGCCTCCCCCCACAATTTCTGGGTAGACTCGAACTTAACAACATTGAGCTCATCATCCTTTAATGGTTTGATTTTTACGTTCAATAAAACATTCAATTAGGTAAGGTGACATTGCTTGATGAATGATTCCATGCTCGGAACAATATTCTTGAAATGATGCCCGTTTTTCCACTTCTATCATTACGAATATTCTTTTTTCGTTTACACAGTTGATTATCAACTTCCGTCTTATAATGTTTGAATGCATCTAAGGCTTCATCTTTACTTCGTAGTACAAAGACATAACAACACTTTGTACAATCATTTATGAAATTTATTAAGTATTTCTTACCACCTTTAGTTTGAACGAATTTCAGATCATATACATCGATATATATTAATTCTAAAGGTGTCATGTTCCTCCAAATCGAGTGAAAAGGTGTTTTAACTAACTTTGCTTTAACACATTCTTCGCATTTATGATTAGGATCAATCCTAAATGTCGAAATTAAACTTTGATTCACAAGTTTATGCATAGATTTGTAATTAATGTGTTCTAATCGATAATGCCATAAACAAGACAACTTAAGCATATAAACAAAATTGAAATTTTTATTCATAATGCTTTTTGGTACAATTGAAAGGACGTTCATTTTAAACATTTCTTCACTAAAATTACCCTTACTAATATACATATCACTTTTTCTAAGTAGGAACTTGTTCAACACAAATATAAGTTTAAAGTCATTGTTGCTAAGTAGATACCCTGAAACTAGGCTCTTAAGAATGCCCCAGCACATGGAGGACATTATTGGGGACTAGTTCTTCCTGAAAGTCATTTTCAATGTAATCTTTCCAAATCTTTCAACCTTCGAACTTGCAGAGTTCTCCTTTCAATTTATGATAGTTTGAGAACATGGTCTTATTTGCATAAATATGGTGGGTAGCACCAGTGTCAACCTACCAATCCATTGGATTAACAATCGTGTTGCATTCAGAAACAGCCACAGATAGACTCATACCTTGAACCCCTTCTTATAGGATGTCTCTTTCAATCACATTTGCTTGGGCAATCTACTTCGGCTTTTGACATTCATTTGAACGAAGTTCGGATTTTATGCAATTTTAAGAGTTGTTTTTAATCTTATTGATATCTTTGGAGTTGTCTCTTCTTGGTGTATCAACA